TCTGTCCATTCTACAACCTTAGCATGGTCAGATGACACTAAGAAAACATACTTTTCTCATTATGGAGAATGCATTATTTAAATCCATATAAAGCTGTGAGCCATTCAGAATTGGGCTGCAGAAGTGGTGGGCGAGTGCGCACGCCCACTTATGCAAGCAGCAGGAGAGTACATGCGCACACGCTTCATTTGTGTGAGAAGTGGGAACACATGCCTGCCATGCATGGAAATGGAGCTGCGCGCATGTGTGCACGCTTATCAGCCACTTGCGCAGAACCATCCTTTCTGCCCCCTACTGGTCTGCAAAGCCAGAAAGGTTGGGAAACTGATATAAAGGAAGGAATTCAAAATTAATTTCAAGTTATCTATTTTGTAATAAAGCACATGAATAGAAAGGCATTTAGACTATATTTTTTTATTTTTCTATAAAAAATGTTGAGCAAGATTTCATGTAGATAGATGCTTCTGGTCAAGTACTATACCTAATGTTGGTATGATTTTTATGTATCAAATACTGTAAATAATCTACAGGTTATTTCCCAAAGAGAAACAAAAAGTTAACTATAAGATTAATCTATCCTATCTTCCCTTCTAGACGTGTCCTTCTAATTGCTTCAGTTTATTGCAAAATAAAGGAATAGTTTTCTACAAATACTTGCAAGGGTGATTGATATAGAGAGTTTACATAGAAATTAAAATATTGCTATAACATTATCCAAGAACATCCTCACCTGTGGGAAGTTGATGATTATGATAATAATAATTAATTAAATTTGCATGTTGCCCAATTCTGTGACTTTGGTTGGCTCACAACAGTCAAACAATGAAATGACAATAAAATCAATAAAAAATAAAGGTAAGAGATGGCAAGTGAAGAAGAGTCTTATTTTGTTCATCCCTGAAGGCCTGGGTGAAAAGCCAAGTGTTCATGGGTATTCTAACAGCACGGTGGGGGCCAACCTCGTTCCAGAGGACAGATGCTACTACAGAGAAGGTACGCTTCCAGGGTCTCCATAGATGGCAATATTTAATCGAAGGAATCTTCAATTATCTTCGAACCCTGCAGGATCAAATCAGTCAGGCAGATGTTATGGGAGACAGAAAGTCTCTCAAGTAACTTAGCCCTGTACTATGGGCTTTCTGTAATGTCCACCTTTTTAATGTCTGTATTCCAGTCGCCAATTTTCTAATATTAACTCTCCTCTTTTAATTTCTATTCCATTTCATTGCTCCCAGTTGGTATTGTGAATCTATGCCCTTGTATATTTCAACAGAGTGGGGAATGCTTTAATTATTTATTTACTCCCATTAATGTTTTCTTTTTTAAAAAAAACCCTAGTGATACTTTACAATACATTTTTTTTTAATGGAAAAATGAGAGAGGATTAGTTATTAAAGCCCCACCTTTTACTTGTTCTTGTGGGAAAAGAAACTGACAGGTTGATTTAGAAAGGCTATTCATCTGTAATCAAATGGAAGTAATGAAACAGACTGAATTTTCAAAGAGAAAGTAAAGGTACAAATTGAATACAGCATAAGAACACTGAAATCACACTTTCACCTGTCAATATTGTGCTGTTTATCCCAAACTTGCAATTGCTATTTATCAAAGAATATCTTCAAAGAACAAGAAAATATTACATAGAAAACATTGGAATGCAATGGACTAACAATGAACAGAATAACAGAGTTGAAAGGTACCTTGGAGGTTTTCTAGTACAACCCCCTGCTCATTTGCTCATGCAAATGGTTGTCCAGTCTCTTCTTAAAAATCTCCAGTGATGGAGGACCCATAACTTCTAGAGGCAAGCCGTTCCACTGATTGATTGTTCTGATTCTCAGGAAATTTCTCCTTAGTTATAGGTTGGTTCTCTCCTTGATTAGTTTCCATCCATTGCTTCTTGTCCTGCCTTCAGATGCTTTGGAGAATAGATCCACCCTGTCTTCTTTATGGCAGTCCCTCAAAAATTGGAAGACTGTTATCATGTCAGCCCTGTTTTTTGCATTAGACTAGACATATATAATTGCTGCAACTGTTCTTCATATGTTTTCACCTCCAGTCCCCAAATCATCTTTGTTGCTTTTCTCTGCATTCTTTCTAGAGTGAGTCTTAACATCTTTTTAATATTGTGGCAATCAAACCAGGATGCAATATTCCAAGTGTGGTCTTACCAAGGCATTATAAAGCAGTACCAACACTTCACATGATCTTGATTCTATTCCTCTGTTAATGCAGCTTAGGAGTGCATTGACTTTTTTGGTGGCTGCAACACACTGTTGACTCATATTTAAGTGTTTGACCACTAGGACTCCTAGATCCCTCTTGCAGTTACCACTATCAAGCCAGGTATTACCTATTCCAGTGATGGCTAACCTTTTTGCCATCGTGTGCCAGGAGCAGGTGGGGGGTTTGCGCGTCCACACCCACACCCATAATTCTATGCGCTGCTGGGAAGCTGGGAAGGTTGCAAATGGAAACACGAGATCTCAGAATGCTAAAACCATCCTCATCCAGTTGCGCCCATTCCTGGATCATGACGCTCATCATCAATGCCCTTGTAACCTCTCACTTAGATTACTGTAATACACTCTACATAGGGCTGCCCTTGAAAAATATTTTGAAACTTCAACTGGTGCAAAATGTGGTTACACAAGTAATAAATGATGCTGTCTACACAGCACATGTAACACCACTGCTTCATGAGCTGCACTGGTTGCCAGTATGTTTCTGGGTGCAATTCAAGGTTCTCATTGTCACCTTTAAAGCCCTACGTGGCTTGGGTTAGGATTAGCTAAGGAACTGTCTATTCCCAAGAGTTTCTATCCATCCAACTCAGTCCAGTAGATTGGACATGCTGCAGGTCCTATCAGCCAGAGTGTCAACTGGCGGGAACTAGAAGAAGCTGTAGCCCGTGCCTTATGGAATATTCTCCCCTTGGAGATTAAAATGACCCAAGTACTCAGAATTTGTTAAGGATCCCATTACTTGGCTTTACTATTAATTGATCATCACAGCTCAGTGGTGAAATCTAAAAATTTTCACCACCAGTTCTGTGGGCGTGGCTTGGTGGGTGTGGCTTGGAAGTCATGTGACTGGGTGGGCATGGCCAACATTATGTCACTCACGTCACTCTTTCTTTCTTTCTCTCTCTCTCTCTCTCTCCCTCTTTCTTTCTCTTTCTTCCCTCACACACATACACTCTCTCACACACACACATACCTGGTCTGAGCAGCAGCCGCTGCAGGAGAAGGAAGAAAGTGCTCCGGGAGGGAAGGCGGCCTGGCCAGGAAGCGGCGCATCCCCCTTCATGGGCTGGATGCAGGCAGCGGGACCTGAGGTGGAGGGGAAGGCAAGCGGGCAGCAGTAACCCAAAGGCCCCGCGGAAGCTGAGTGTGCCAGGCTCAAAAGGCGAGTGAGCAAGCCTCGCCATGTTCCCCCGAGGTAGCTCTTTGGCTGAGCACACCGGGTCTCCCTTCCCCACCACCAGCATCGGCCTTACATCTGCCCACCCTCCCAGGGCTGCCCATGCACACCCTGGCAGCAGCGGTCTCAGCGGCAGCAGCAGGAGAAGGAAAAAAGCAAGCGGCCCCTCTCAGGGCTGGTGGCACTGCCCCTCTCAGCCCCAGCGCAACAGGACTGCCGGGCCAGCGGGAAGCAACTTTCTGCCACGCAAAGGCTGGATTCCCACCGTGAGCGACAAGAAAATCTAATCGGTCCTCGGGTGGGATAGGGAGGGTTTCTCTTCCTTCCCTGTGAATTAAAAACCCATGTTAGAGCTGTGGAGGAGGAGGAGGAAGATGGGGCTTGCTGCACAAAAGCCCCAAAGGCCATGCAAAGTTGCAAACCTTGGGCGAGCTTGCAAAACAAACTCAATGAACCCTGCAAGGAGGAGGAAGAGAAAGTCATGGTCGCCTTGCCTTCCCTCTTGCCGCTCCGAGCCCTGTCCAGCCTTGAAGCTGGTGGAGGAGAAGAGGAGGAGGAGGAGGGCTGCTTGGTGTGATGCCTGCATTCTCCCCCCCCCTTGCATGGGCAGCATCTCAGCCTTGCAGCCGCCATGGGTATTGCATCAGGGCACTGGAGGTGAGCGGAGCCGCAGAGCAGTTTTGCAAAGGAGGTAGAATAGCATGGTGGCGGCTGTCCATGCCCTATTTCTTGCCAGCCAGACAGGAGAAAGGGGGGAGGAGAGAAGGAGGGGGCAGCTGGGTCTTCCTGGCCTTTTCTGTGTGCTCTCCCCCGCTCCCCCCAATCACTTCCGAAAGATGCAAGAGGCATTTCGGGCAAAGGTAGCAGCTGCTGCATCTCCCCCAAGGGCGTGGGGGTTAGGGTTAGCTGGACACCGACCTCAGAAGGCAAGTGGGCATGGGGGACCACCAGGAAAGCAGTGTGGAAGGCAGGCAAGCTGGCAGGGCTGCAGGGAAGGGAGTAGGCTGCTAGCTCCCTTCCCCGCAGCCCTGCCATGTTTGCCTGCCTTCCATATGGCCTTCCGCTTGCCTGCCTTCACAAACTGGCCACAGGGATGCCGAGAAAGCCACGTGGAAGGCAGGGAAAAATGGCAGGACTGCGGGCCATGGGCCAGTTCGGGGGAGTGGCCAGCCAGCCGTTGCTACCGGTTCGGCGAACCATCCCCAATCTCCGGTAGCAGTTCACCCGAACCAGTCCCAACCGGTAGCATTTCACACGTCACAGCTGCTGTTTATACTTATTTTGTTGATTTGTTTTTTAATGTTTTAATTAATTTATAATTTTAGAATTGTAAGCCTCCCAAGAATCACTTAAGTAAGTGTGAGGCCTAGTTAGGCCACTTTTTTCAGCACCGTTGTAACTTTGAATGGTCACTAAATGAATGGTTTTAAGTTGAGGAGCACCTATATACAAGTATCTTGCTTTATTTGTAAAACACTCCAGAAAAGACAGTTTGTCTGCAAACACAGAGCCTGAGGTGAGACCTAGGAAAGCATTGCCATTGCTCTGTGACTTAATCAGTGCCTTTTTCTTCACAGTGTTGAGCATTCGAGGAGCTCAGGAGGAGGAACCCACAGACCCACAGCTAATGCGGCTGGACAACATGCTCTTAGCAGAAGGGGTAGCTGGCCCTGAGAAAGGAGGGGGCTCAGCAGCAGCAGCAGCAGCAGCAGCAGCCTCAGGAGGTGCTGGCTCAGACAATTCCGTAGAACATTCTGACTACAGAGCAAAACTCTCACAGATTCGGCAGATCTACCACACAGAGCTGGAGAAGTATGAACAGGTACCAGTGACATTTCTTCCTCTGTTACACAGGCCAAGCAATAGTGTTAGTTTGGCCTTATCTATAGCACAATCCTCTATTCTCTCTTGGATCAGGGATGGAAGGTGCATTTTTTGACCAAAGGACTCGGCAAGTGTTTTCATTGCTTCTGGTGCTTCAGCTGAAGAGTGAATACATGAAATGGCCACATACTGTTTTACTGCATGTAGAAAATAGCATACAAGTAAAGTAATATAGGCTGAACCCATCTGCTGAGATGCTAATTATTTAATATATAAGACATTGTGTTCATGGGAAACATTCCAATAGGCAAGCCTCTACCCCCCTCCCGCATTTCAAATGATGCAGTTCAGAAAAAGCAGTACTGTTTGGAAACTGCTAAACATTAAATTGGACATAAAGTATTTGTGGTTAAGATAATGTGCTTCAGCTGGGAAGTCAGAGTTGCTATGATCCTATCTTAGGTCAGCTGCTTCTTGAAAAGAAAAAATGGTTTAAATTTAAATAACACATTACTGTATGCTTTGAAAAATACAATGGACAAATTATTCTTTAGGAACAAATTTTTAAAATACCTGTACTTTTTTTAAAAAAATCATTTTCAATTGAATATAAAATAATTAAGGGTTTTTTTTTTAAAAAAAAAGCAATGCAGTACTGCATTTAACTAATTGTTACAGCATTTGACAAACAATCATATAAAGGTATTTTATTAAATAAACTCAAGGATCTGGGGGTTGTAACAATCCGATACTATAACTATTTTTCTATTATCCAGAATGTTGTTCTCTATTATCAGTTCTGACCTTCAGATACGAGCAAGCTTTCCCCCCACCGTTCCTTTCCCTTCTGTTCTAATAGAAATACTTTCCCCAAACAGAATCAGAACCTTTCCTTCTTATTGACAACTTCTGTAGTCAAATACATGAGAAATTTACACTCTGTTGTTGAAAGTTTGGTTTAAAGTACCAAAAGATGTTTCTCTAATAAAAAGTTTTTAAAAATATTATTGTATTCAACAATTCAACAATGTGGAGCCTATAAATTTTATAAATTTTCAGACACCTGAATTTTGCCCTAAATGTAGATTCTGAGTTCTTTCATGAAAGTATTTTGTTATTCTAAATTAGAATGACAATGTTGAGGCCTTGTTTTATACGTTTCCATCATATATCTGGAAGAAGTGTGTGAGTGTGTGAGTGTGAGAGAGAGAGAGAAAGAGGGAGCAAGAGAGAGAGAGAGAATAAAATAAATTCAGATGCACATGTCCCCATCTCTTTCTTCAGTCATAAAATTCATGAGGCCTAAAGGAGGTTTCCAGGTGGTCTTTCACCTAGGCACAAACAAAGCGCAACTCTGTTTAGCTTAGGCTCCAGTCACACATCAGATAGATATGCAAAACTGATTTATATTTGTACGTCCCATATTTGAAACATTATTCAGGGCTTGGGTAAACAGAGCCTAGTCTAAATGCAGTCCCTGAGACTTTGGTATGCATCCAAAAGCTTCTCCTTATTTCCACTGAAATTTGACAGCAAAATTTTAGCAACAGATCACTTAAAAGAGCGTATGATCTAAGATGATATGCAGTTTAAAACTTGTGGAAGAACGTTGTATAAATTGAACTTTACAGATGTTTTGCAATTGATCTATTTAACTTTTATTATGCATTCAATTGCATCCTTTGCTTTACAATAATTGAGTGGATCTTAAAACTGAGATTTAAGAAAAAAAATACAAGTCTAAATTATATATCAGAGTACACTGTATGCATGTTTTTTTTCCCTTGAAGATCCCATGGAGGCTTATTATGGATAAATCAGAATGTGTGTTTAATATACATTCATGTATGCAATTTGTTAAATATTTATATCTGTTTTCTTCCCTCATTCCCCTCTCACTTTACCTTGCCCCATCTTTAATATTGTACAATGTTAATAATTCTTTGAGACTATGGGGCAGAAAAGTAGAAAGCTTTGAGGGAGCAAAGAAGTGTGTCATTCATCCTTAGAGCTGCAACATGCCACCTTACCATGATTTCTTAGGTCACAAAGGTTCTTCATGCTCTTTCTTCTGTGTCTCAGGCATGTAATGAGTTCACGACCCACGTGATGAATCTGCTGAGGGAACAGAGCAGGACTCGGCCTATCTCCCCCAAAGAGATAGAGAGGATGGTCAGCATCATCCACCGCAAGTTCAGCTCCATCCAGATGCAACTCAAACAGAGCACATGTGAAGCTGTCATGATCTTGCGCTCTCGATTTCTTGATGCACGGTGAGCTTTAGACCAGACCTATATACTTGCCTTCTTCAATTAGGAATCATTTCTAACTTAGAGAACTGATTGTCCCCATAGACAGCATGTTAGTGTCAAAATAATTAATGGGGAGGGGAGGGGGAATGAGCTAGTAAACACTTGCTTGGGCTAGACATTTTTAATTTTAAAATTATTTATTTAATTTACAATAACAATAATTTTGATTAGTACTTTACTAGATTAGCATCAAAATTTTCTAGTTTATTACACATCATATTATAGCTTATATGAGCTATGAAGACTTTTAACTGCCTATAGAATAAATAGATCCTATAGAACAACAATTAACCTATGAGCTAAGGAGCATAATGGCTCATGTAGTTAGGATGCTGGGTTGGAGATTAGCAAGCCTGTGTTCAAGACCCAAGTGCTGCTGCATGGCGGGGTGAGCTCATTCACTCCAGTTCCTTCATGGGGACATGAAAGGAGCCCCCCCCCTTGGGCATACCCCGGGCATTGGTAATCTCATCGGCTAATCCTTTCAGTCTCGAAGCATCTTAAACAGTGCCTCCAACACAAACAGGTCGGGAGCATATGAGCTTTACCTGGTACTTTTCGGAGTAGAACTGCTGAGGAAATCTTTACTTTGCCATTTTTCAGTGAATAAATTACAAACAATCCTCAACCCACAACTGATCACTTAGCAACTGTTTGAAGTTATGATAGACCTCCCAAAATCTACTTATGATCTGGTTCCAGAGTTCTGATGATTGCACACACACCTGCATCTTAGGCACTTGGCAACTGGCTTGCCTTTATGGCTGATTGCAATAGTTAATGGTCACGTAGCTGTGATTTATGACATTTTTGCCAGTTTTTGGTCTTTTGGGCCAGTTTCTGGCAAAAAAGCACATAAGAATACATTGATTCGCTTAACGACTACCACATTTAATGACTGTAGTGTTTAGTTAATAACCCCCATGCAAAAAACTTGTAAAATTGAATCTGGTCATGTGAGTGCCACAACTTATGGCCCTCATGACTTACGACAGAAATTCCAAGCTCCATTGCAGCCATAAAATGAGGATTATTAACTTTTACTAAAAGGAAACTATTGCTACATAGTTTCTGATATAAGAGATGCAGTAGATGAATTATAGAATTATTTCCCCAGTAATACAAGATTAAAAATACATTAATAATTTAATTTGCCAGATCCAATGCTAAGTGCAAACAACTGCAACTTTGCTAACTGACAATATAAGAAAAGCTTACAGAATTGTATGTATGTATGTATGTACCGTATTTTCCGGCGTATAAGACGACTGGGCGTATAAGACGACCCCCTACTTTTCCTCTTAAAATATAGGGTTTGGGCTATACTCGCGGTATAAGACTACCCTTCTTCCAACGCACACCAAATAAAAATTAAAAAACATCAGATTTGATTTCAATATGGTAATTTTAATTCAAATGCTTATGCCTTTCCAAGAATCTAGTACACCCGGATACAGTGGCCTTAAATCTGTTGCTGTGATCTGGGTTAGATTTGGCCCACTGAAGTGCAAACAAACGTATTTTATTTCGTGTCACTACATAACCGTTTTGGCAATGCTCATTCACCATGTCTGCTACATGTTTTTCGAGTTCTGGCCAATGTGGGGTGCCTCTTCTTAATGCACACTTACCCCTTGGCATACTCTTTAATGCTTTTACATTTGCTTTCCAGTCCCGAACCATCTTTTCTGTTACTCCATATTGTCTTGCAGCAGCACAGTTATTATGTTCCATGGCAAAGTTTACAACTTTAAGTTTAAAACTGGCTTCATATTTCTTTCTTCTTGCTGGTGGAGCCATGATGGGGTCTTGACTGTTATATTTGTATACTATGCTGTATGTTCTGTTGCTGTACTGTATGTATTGTTGCTGTACTGTAGAGAAAGGTAATGGGCTACGCTACATGTAGTGGCAAGAGGGCTATTTTGTACCAGGTTTTTTTCCTTCACCCATGCAGCCTTGTCGAGATCCGCACAGCTTCATGAATCTGAGTTGCTGGCACTGACTGATGACGCTACGGGAGCGCCGACAACATTGACAGAAAGCTGTGCCGATCTAGTCAAGGCTGCATGCTGCTGAATGCTGGAATCAGCTGGCTGCTGAGCGGAGCTTCTCCCAGGCATCTAGGGGGGTATTACGACGCTCCGACTTCCCCAGCTGACCCCCACTGATGGCGAGCTCCACCGGTCTGGGGAAGTCAGAGCGTCGGTAATATCTCCCTGGATGCCTGGGGGAAGCTCCGCGCAGCAACCAGCTGGTTCCAGCATTCCAAGGCGATTCCAAGGAGGTCCACAGTGAAAGCGGCGCCACGGTCGACCTGGGCCAGCACCTTGCACACCTGGCTCTGCGTCTCCATTATGAGAAGCTCCATGCGACTTCGCATGTCTCCGCCCCAGTTGCACAGCTCTCGCAATCCGCTCACCGGAGGAGCCATGAAGTGCTCACACCGCCTTGCCAGATCTTCCTCGTCCTCCTTTCCCCATGGCTTTTCCGGTTGTAATTGCTGCTGCTGCTGCCGCCGAGGCTGCTCCTTCATCTCCGCCCGCCGCACCAGACCCAGCCCGGCCAGCACCGCCGTGGCTCCCGCAGTCCAAGCGGATCGGCACCCGGGCTCACAGGCGAAGGGTGGGAGTGCGCAGCGCACTTTCCTGGCTTGGCGCCGATCCGGACAGCTGCAGTAATGGTGAGAGCGGGCAACCTCGGGAGAGCCATTTCGGGACTCCGTTTTGCACGTGTAGCGGATCCCAGTTACCAAGAAACCCGGAGAAGAGGCACAAGGGGGGTTTATCAAAAAGGAGCTTTAAAAGAGGTCTCGATACAGAGGACGCGGCGAGCATGGACACCGTCCACACAAACAGGCACCAAAGTCTCGTTGCAGCAACGTTAAGCCGCGACTTTACACGCCTCCTAGTTTTAGGCCGCTTGTTCCAATGCCTTCGCGATAAGCCGGCAGAATCAAAACTCTTTTTTTCTTTCTTTCCCTCTCTCTCTCTCTCTCTCTCTCTCTCTCGGCAGCTTTGAATCCGTGGGGGGGGGGGGGGGCGAGGGGGAATGTTATCAGCAACAAACAACAACAAAAAGTGTGTGTTTGTGGAGAGGGGAGGTAGTGGTAAAGGCGGCAGACCGGTTTTTTTTTCCCCAAGCTGATCTCTTTCGCGGCGTATCCAGCCCGACCCCATTCAGAAGAAAGGCTGCAGCCGGAAAGAAACGGGGGGGGGGGGGAAAGACATCTGCACCTTTTGTTACATACACACACACGAAACCCACAGTTTTCTGGCCTCTCACGCAGATCTGTTGTGGGGTGGGGTGGGTGGGACCCACATAATTCCGGGAGGCGAAAAGGGGCGCAGGGATATTTCCAGAAATGAGCGAAATAATGCAATCCACGCAGCAACGCCCATATTCTCCCGTTCAGATTCTACCTCTGGCTGAGAGAAAACTGCCTTGAAAGTTTCTCTGCCCCCCCACCCTTTAAACCCAAGACCCTGCCTAGTTTGCAGACTAGAGCACTTCTTTCCCCCGCCTGATTAGCCGAGGTTAAAATCTTAAAAGCTCGGGCGCCCCTCAAGCCGCTTCTCCCGACACCGGGATGAACGAGAAAGCCGTTTTAGCTTCACCTATTCTTCCACACTCACCCCTCCACCCTGGAAGGTAACTTAGCGCTGCTCCAGGATGTTCACTTCGGGCTCCTTGGAATCGCTGCCGGGCGGTTCTTCCCGTTGGGGCGATGGTGGGTGGCTGCGAGCCTGGAAGAGGTGGTGAAATGCAGAGCAATACCTCGTGGAGAAGGAGTTCGCCGTGGCTCCTGCAGTCCAAGCGACGCCGATCGCTGCCACCCACCATCGCCCCAACGGGAAGAACCGCCCGGCAGCGATTCCAAGGAGCCCGAAGCGAACATCCTGGAGCAGCGTGGGCCGGCCCGGAGGCTTAAACCCCGGGAGCCCAGGTGCCGAATCCCGCACAGCAGAAAAGACATGACAGCCGGTGCCCAGTTCCTTCTGCAGCCGTCCGGATCGGCGCCAAGCCAGGAAAGTGCGCTGCGCACTCCCACCCTTCGCCTGCGAGCCCGGGTGACGATCCGCTTGGACTGCGGGAGCCACGGCGGTGCTGGCCGGGCTGGGTCTGGTGCGGCGGGCAGAGATGAAGGAGCAGCCTCGGCGGCAGCAGCAGCAGCAATTACAACCAGAAAAGCCATGGGGAAAGGAGGACAAGGAAGATCTGGCAAGGCGGTGCGAGCACTTCATGGCTCCTCCGGTGAGCGGATTGCGAGAGCTGCGCGACTGGGGCGGAGACATGCGAAGTCGCATGGAGCTTCTCATAATGGAGACGCAGAACCAGGTGTGCAAGGCGCTGGCCCAGGTCGACCGTGGCGCCGCTTTCACCGTGGACTGCTGGGAAAGAAAGGAAGGTGACCCGAATTCTGGGGTAGAGTGGGGACGCGTTCCTTTCTCGTGGGCCGCGCACTGCCTGGCACCTCTTGTAGGTTGGAACTAATTTGGAGTACAGCTTCCCCTCAATGTTGCCGGCGCTCCCAAAGTGTCATCGGTCAGCGCCAGCAACTCAGATTCAGGTACCCGGCGTATAAGACGACCCCCGACTTTTGAGATGATTTTCCTGGGTTAAAAAGTCGTCTTATACGCCGGAAAATACTGTATGTATGTATGTATGTATGTATGTATGTATGTATGTATGTATGTATGTATTTATTTATTTATTTATTTTGAAATTTATTTGCCACCCATCTCGTGTCCAACAATTCTGGGCAGCTTACAACATACAAGCATTAAAAAAACATTAAAATCATAAATTATAAAATAACACAGCGGATAAAAGCATTAACACAAGATGGCAAAGAAGGGAGTGGATACATGGGGAGAGGGAGGTGGCCCAATGAACTGATTCAGCCCAAACGTAATATTTTTATTCTTTAAGAAATTGGTTTTGTCTGAATTCAACCATAGTTTTTCATTAAATAATAAGTCAAACAATTTAACTGAGGAAAAATATAACAAAGTAGGTAACAACTTTACAAACCATATTTTAACTTTGTTCTATGCAAGGAGCAGAATTAGATAGCTGAAGAGTAAATTATACTTTATCAATTGGTATCATCTTTTGCTCTCAGAAAGGACAAACAAAAAGTGTTTTACAAGACAAAAAGTATGAGGTTTGTGGTATAAGTAGAAAGCTAATGAGGTTTGTGTATAAGTAGAAAGAAGATATGAAGTATGTTAGAGTTTCCCCAGAAAGTGAAAACCAGAAAAAAAGATGACATATCTGAGCATCAATCTGTTTGTAGGAGCCAAAAAGGAATCTCATGGCTCTGAACTTACTTTTTAAAAATAATGCTCTGGAATCGCTGATACTGATTATCCTTCATGTTTTGTGACCAGGAGGAAGAGAAGAAATTTCAACAAGCAGGCTACAGAAATTCTCAATGAGTATTTCTATTCTCATCTCAGCAACCCTTATCCCAGTGAGGAAGCCAAAGAGGAACTAGCCAAGAAATGTGGCATCACAGTCTCACAGGTAAGAAACCTGGATGCTCATCTATAGGGTGGCCATCACCCATCCTTCCATCTACCTTTCCATCCATTAAGGCAGAAAGGCTACAAGAAGGTGTTTTCATTAATTCTATAATGAATGCTGGGCAAAGTACTTAGGAAAAACAGTGGACAGGGACGAAAATAGTTTGCTTAAAAAATGAAACTAGTTGTTTTTAGATGTTGGATTTTATTTGGAATAAATAGAGTTTTGCAGGACTGTTTTCATTCACTTGTAAAAAAAATCAAAAATCATGTAGCAATATGCAAATGTATTATTTTCATGCATAGATTATATAAAATCAAAGCAGAAACAGAGATTATATTGTTTGCATCAGGGCCATTATTTTCCAACTGCATTCTGTGCAGTCCTTTGATTTCTTGGAAGCTTATCTGGAATTCCTAAAGAGAAGTAATGATAAACAAACCAGAATGCAAAGTAGAGCAACTAAAATGATAAGGGGACTGCAGGAAAAATCACACAGGGGGGAAGACGTTGACTTATTCTGTAATAAGGAGGGCAGGGCAGGAAGCAATGGGTGGAAGCTTGTTAAAGAGATATCCTACCTGGAACTTAGAAGAAATTTCCTGACGGAACAATTTATTTATTTATTTATTTATTAATCATATTTGTATACCGCCCTACTCCCGAAGGACTCAGGGCAGTGAACAGCCAAGATAAAATACAAAGACATACAAAAGTTAAAAAACTATTAAAAACAAATTAAATAATTTAGGCTCAAAAAACAAATTTAAAACATCCAATTTATCTAAAAAACATTTTAAAACCCAATTTAAAAGGGAGAGTTAGGCCAGACCAGCCTGTTGGAATAAGAACATTTTTAGGGCGCGGCGGAAGATGCGTAAGTCTTGAATCCTCCATATCTCCGGGGGGAGCTCGTTCCAGATGGCAGGTGCCCCCACAGAGAAGGCTCTCCCCCTGGGGGCCGCTAGTCGACATTATTTGGCCAACGGTACCCTGAGGAGCCCCTCTGTATGGGAGTGAACTGGTCAGTGAGAGGCTACTGGTGGCAGAAGGCGGTCTCGTAAGTACCCTGGTCCTGAGCCATGGAGCGCTCTAAAGATGGTAACCAAAACCTTGAAGCGCACCCGGAAGACCACTGGGAGCCAGTGCAGCTCGCGCAGGAGGGGGGTCACATGGGAGCGCCACATCGTTCCCGTCACCACCCGCGCGGCCACATTCTGGACCAGTTGGAGCCTCCGGGTGCTCCTTAAGGGAAGCCCCATGTAGAGAGCATTGCAATAGTCCAGGCGTGAGGTGACAAGGGCGTGAGTGACCGTGCGTAACGAGTCCCGATCCAGAAAGGGATGCAACTGGTGAATCAGGTGAACCTGATAAAAAGTCCTCCTGGCCACGGCCGCCATATGCTCTTCTAAAGACAGCCGTGAGTCCAGGAGGACGCCCAAGTTGCGAACCCCATCTGTGGGGGCCAATGACTCGCCCCCAATAGTCAGAGATGGCGCCAACTGACTATATCGGGACGTCGGAAACCACAGCCACTCGGTCTTGGATGGGTTGAGCCTGAGTCTGTTCCTCCCCATCCAAATCCGTACGGCCTCCAGGCACCGGGATATCACCTCGAGGGCATCATTGGGGTGGTCTGGGGTGGAGATGTACAGCTGGATGTCATCAGCGTACTGATGGTACTTCACCCCAAAACCACGGATGATCTCACCCAGCGGCTTCACATAAATGTTGAACAGAAGGGGCGAGAGGACCGATCCTTGCGGCACCCCACATACAAGGGGCCTCGGGGTTGACCTCTGCCCCCCTGTCAACACAGACTGCAACCGGTCGGAGAGAAAGGAGGAGAACCACTGTAAAACAGTGCCCCCCCACGCCCAACCCTTCCAACCGGTGCAGCATGATACCATGGTCGATGGTATCAAAAGCCGCTGAGAGGTCTAATAGGACCAGGACAGAGGAGCAACCCCTGTCCCGAGCCCTCCAGAGATCATCAACCAATGCGACCAATGCCGTCTCCGTGCTGTACCCGGGCCTGAAGCCCGACTGGAACGGATCTAGATAAGTCGATTCATCCAGGTACTGAGGCAGCTGTCGTGCAACCACACTCTCAACAACCTTCGCAACAAAGCGAAGGTTGGAGACAGGACGATAATTTGCTAACACAGCCGGGTCCAGGGAAGGCTTCTTGAGGAGGGGCCTCACCACTGCTTCTTTCAGGGCGGCGGGAAAGACACCCTCACTCAAAGAAGCATTTATAATCCCCTGGAGCCAGCCTCGTGTAACCTCCCAGGAGGCCAGCACCAGCCAGGAGGGACACGGGTCCAATAAACATGTGGCCGCACTCAGTCTGCTCAGTATTCTGTCCACGCTTTCGGGAGTCACAGGATCAAACTCTTCCCATATAATATTCTCAGGACCTGCCCCTGTCATCTCCCCTGGATCTACCCAGTCAGAGTCCAGCTGTTCCCGAATCTGAGCGATTTTGTCATACAGATATTGTACAAAATCCTCAGCTCTACCCTCCAAGGGGTCCTCCCGCGCCCCCTGGTGGAGCAGGGAGCGGGTCACCCTAAACAGGGCAGCTGGGCGATTATCTGATGACGCAATAAGAGCAGAAAAGTAGTTACTCTTCTCTACTTTTATCACCACTAGGTAATTCTTAATATGAGATCTTACCAGTGTCCGGTCGGATTCAGAACGACTAGCCCTCCAACTGCTTAACCAATGGAACAGTTTTCCTTCCAGAATTCGGGGTGCTCCATTACTGAAGGTTTTCAAGAAGAGATTGCCTGGGATGATATAAAGTCTCTTGCCATGGGCAGGGGATTGGACTAGAAGACCTCTGAGGTCCCTTCCAGTCCTATGATTCTATGATTCCTTGAAAGATTTGTTTGCAACTACTAAGTATTTTCACCTTTAACATAAGGGAGAGGAGTGTCCTAGGATAATATTCTTTCTGCATAGGAAATATTAGATTAATCAGATGCATGTGAATTGAAAATTTATCCAATAAAATTTGCCAGCAGTGTTCAAGGAATTTTAAGGCAAACTTCTGTGTTGATGGTAGGAAATCTGAAAAACAGTGTATTTCAATTACTATTAAGGCCACATGACAGCTGTATATTGAGAGCGGGGCTGGATTTTCAAAATAGTTTCTATGATGCCAAACAATACGCAGAGTACTTTGTCTCCAGTTACTATTCAGTGTTTGTTTTTTTTTAATTTGATTTATATGCCGCCCTTCTCCGGAGACTCAGGGCGGCTTACAATGTGTTAAGCAATAGCCTTCATACTTTTGTATATTTATACAAAGTCAGCTTATTGCCCCCACAAACTGGGTTACAATTATTTCTGAGCTTGCACAGACTTTCCAAATTCTTATGTTTATTAAAGTCAGTTTGATAGACTAGCTGGACATCTATATGATGCAGAACTCTAGCCAGCTCAGCTGTTATTCACATTCTGATGAGAATTTCTGTTTGCCCCACCATTCCTAGTGGCTGTGAAGAATGGTTCATCGGTTTTTGGTGAAATCAATGTTATTCACAACTTTGCCAACCTTGCAACAAAGCCTTTATTTTGATATGAAAAATGCTGAGCAGATTTACAAAGCAAAAACTGTAATTATTTTACCAATATCATATAATTTGCTAATGCAGACACCAATGGGAAGCCTGCAGAACTAAATCCTGCCAAAAATGACCTGTTCTGATTTGTTAATACCTTTCAAATGACCATCAGAGGGTAAATTTGTGCCTTATAATGCTGTAGACTAAGATTTTTGGTAAGGCTTTGCATGATGTATATGACACCCTGATTATCCCAAGAACTGTTTTCCAGCACAGTTTCCTTGGAGATACAGTCATATCTTTTGGGAGAAGTCCAACAAGAGAACCTGGTTCTGATTAAATTACTGTTTTATTGTGGTTTGAAGCTTACAGAAGGCAGATTTGTGATATTATCTTTTATTACTATACTAGATATATTTATGACTAGAAAAGATAATATTAATATTAAGGTCCTGTCAGCAGAATTTGGTTAGTTTGACTAGTTGTAGTCAAACTAACCAAAGTGAACAAACTAACTAGTTTTATTGTAAGGAATCAAGAGATGGTACCTCAGCAAAGGACTGAAACATTATGAAAATGGACAAGGCCTTTTCTGTAGTATTCTGCCTTCCTGGGGTTTTTTTTTCCCAGCGCTGCTGGGTATACACAGCAGCTTCATGTACTGTGCTTTAGCAAAGTGGGGAAAGTTTACTTACTAGCATTCTACATAAACCTGTTTTTGTTATACACACATATAAGCAAGCATGTGTATTACAAGAGAGGAAAATGTGTGGGTTTTATGTATGTTTCTAACATTCAGTTTACAGCAAGAAGTCCTAATATAAAAAGAAACTATTGTAGTAATTGTGTGGAAGCTAAATGGATAACCAGATATTATTAGAAATTCTAATGGCTTGCATTAAATAGATTTCAAGAAAAATAAATGCATTTGGATCAAGACTCTACATAGCTTTTCAAACATCTGTGAGTTTCTTCCTTGATTACCACAATTATTTTCCCCAAACCTATCAGACAAAAAAGGCAACAAAAATTGTTTCAAAAAATAAATATGGGATTCTGGTTATGTAAATAATGTAATACAGGTAGTTTTTGACTTATGACTACAATTGAGCTAAGCAAGGCAATTGTTAAATGAATCATGCCCCATTTTACAATATTTTGTCATAGTTTTTATGTGAATCACTACAGTTGTTAAGTAAATCATGCAGTTGTTAAACGAATCTGGTTTCCCCCATTGACTTTGCTTGTCAGAAGCTCCCTAGGAAGATTGCAAATGATAGTCCCAGGATTCTAGGACACTGCAACCATCATAAATATATGCCAGTTGCTAAGCACTCATAACTTGATCCTGTGTCTGTAGAGATGATGCAACAATCATAAGTGTAAGAACTGGTCATATGTCACTCTTTTCAGTGCCATTGTAACTCT